AATACCTTCTTTCCTGAGCTAGTCAAGCTCTTAAAGCTTATATTCTTGTAAACAAATGTGCCAGGAGAAATAGGGAAGTGCTGGGGAAGGAAGCAGTGAGAGAGTCCGGCCTCAGCAGTCTGAAACCTCTGGAATCCTCTAACAGCAGTGGGTTACTGGGCAGGCAGCCATGCTGGTTGGATGGAATATAGGCAACTGGGAAACAGACCCAAGGACTGATGGAGATTTGGTGGATGACAAAGAGGAGTCTCAAAGTGTTGGGAGCGGACTTAGTGATCGATGGCCACGGTGAAAAGAGAACGGTGCATCCTTACCTCACGCCACACACAGTAATACGGATCCGAGATGTAAAATGTGCCCCACGAGATTTTCCCTGGGAACTAATGGCTGAGTTGAACATCCTGCAGCCTGTGTGCATGACCTGACCCAGAATCTATGGAACGTATCAGAAGTGCCTGGTACACTTCTCACATACTATGGACCCTTCACCTGTGGCTCTTTTTTTTTTTTTTTAAGATTGATTTGAGAGAGAGAGCGCGAGCATGAGTGGGAGGGACCGAGGGAGAGGAAGAGAGAATCCCAATCAGACTTCATGCCGAGCGTGGTGGAGCCTGATGCTGGGCTCTATCTCACGACCCTGAGATCATGACCTGAGCCAACACCAAGAGTCGGACTTAAGTGACTGAGCCACGCAGATGCCCCTCGATTGTGGCTCTTGAACAGAAATGCTTGCACAGGCTCTTCTGCCTTTAACTGGCTCTCCCCTCACAGCCTGGTTGCCGTGGTTGCTGTTCAGTTTAGATCTTCGGTACCCAATGTTCGTATTTCTAAGCACATGATGCCTAAATTTTATTTTATTTTATTTTATTTTTTAAAGATTTTATTTATTTATTTGAGAGAGAGAGAATGAGAGACAGAGAGCAGGAGAGGGAGGAGGGTCAGAGGGAGAAGCGGACTCCCTGCTGAGCAGGGAGCCTGATGCGGGACTCGATCCCGGGACTCCAGGATCACGACCTGAGCCGAAGGCAGTCGCTTAACCAACTGAGCCACCCAGGCGCCCATGCCTAAATTTTAAAGTATCTTCTGTCATCCCCCTAAAAAGCTTATAAAATCCCCAGGGCTTGCAGAAAGAGCATTTGGGAACCAGCTCTGCCCAGTGATACCTGCTGCTGAGCACTTGGGTATTATCTTCAAGGTACCTGGCTCTAAACCAGGTTGGTCAGGTCTTTAAGGAACCCCAGTGCCCACTAACATGCGTAGATTTTGTTAGTTGGTTCAGCCTCATTTACAGGTACCGATTGGACAGCGGCTTGCGCTCTGGGAACTTGCGCTGACGTGCGTGGGCCTTACTGCCTTGGCTTGAGAGTGCTGGCGTGCGGCAGTCGGAGAGCTGTGAGACCTGGAGGGGCTTTTGTGTTTGCGAACTGCTGCTACAGTCAAGCTCACTGAAGATGCTAACGATATTTGTCATTTTCATCAATGTAGATGACAGTGAAGTTGCCTGTGTAAAATCTCTTCACTGTGCCACTGCGTTTGCATGGCTTGAGGAAGGGAAGCCGGCTGTGTTAATGCCTAGGCTCCTTGAATGACAGGTAAACCCCCCGCCACGCTCCTGCCATTTCACGCGGGCTTCCCTGCAGCCTGACCCTAGTCGCTGGCCGCCCAGGCCACGTGGGTGTGGCGCTCTTGGAGAGAGCTGGCATGGGCGGGGTTGGTTTCCACTGCACACAGGCCCTAGTACATTCTGGTCAGCAGGTTAGCTGGCTATCATTCATTCATTCGTGTGTTCATCCGCTCTTTCTGTGACCTCGCCCGGCTCCTGCTGTTTGGCTAGGCATCGTGGGAGGTGAGGGGACAGATGAAGCGTGGATGGCGGCCTCTGCTGTGTGAGCTTCTCCCTGCCTTGGCCAGGGTCGAGTTACCCAGGTACAGGCCAGAGCCCCTGGCACGAGGGGTGGGGCCACGGCCCATCTTCCGGGGAGAGCTGAGCTGGAGATGGGTCTTCAGAGACGCCATTTGAACATGTTGCGGGAGGCTGCGGCGGCAAGCTGGGGCTTTCTGGAGAATTCCCCGGGGGTCCTTAACTCCCGAGAGGGAATAGCTGGTACCCTACTCCCTGCCACAAACCACATCCCGGAGGCCCCCTCCTTCTGCTCTGGGACAGTGTGGCTTGAGCCCACTGGCATTTTCCTGTCCACTTTGAGCAACAACTGATTTGGTTCCACGAAGAGGCAGTGACGTTGAGTTTGCCACATCCGGCCCAGTTGATGGATTCAGAATGTAATAGTATAAAATGTAATGTTTCAGCATTTCGGGAGAAGACTTTTTCCCATTTAATAATAACCTTCGAGGGGCGCCTGGGTGGCTCAGTCGTTAAGCGTCTGCCTTCGGCTCAGATCATGATCCCAGGGTCCTGGGATCGAGCCCCGCATCAGACTCCCTGCTCCGCGGGAAGCCTGCTTCTCCCTCTCCCACTCCCCCTCCTTGTGTTCCCTCTCTCGCTGTGTCTCTCTCTGTCAAATAAATAAAATCTTTAAAAGAAAAAAAAATAAAAAAATAACCTTCGAACAGAGTTTCTCAACTTTGACCTAGGTGACATTTGGGGCCAGATCATTCTCTAGCATGGGGCCGTGTTGAGCAGCATCCTGGCCCCGACCCACCTTGTGACAACCAGAAACGTGTCCAGACACTGACTGGTGTCCTCAGAGGTGCAGAATTCCTGGTGGAGAACCAGTGCCTTAGAAGAGCTCACAGATACCTAGTGCAGAGCTCGGTTGGCTGATTTCTCACTGGTGCTGACATGGCCTTGGGAGAGGCCGCCCTCATTCAGCGTGGGTGTCAGGACAGCAGTAGCCGTGGGTAGGGGCACGAGGACCCAGCTGGATGCTTTTGTGTTCATAAGTTAGTCACTAGGATTCTTAGAAAACAGTGACTGTCATTCCTGCCCCCAGAACCCCAGGTCATCAGTGTGGGCTTTGAAAACCTGTCTGGATACATGTCCTTAATATAAAAATCCATCTTATTTGGTGGAAAAAGGCATTTAAAATCACGGACGCTATTTTGGTATAAGATTGACAGGTTGACAAACGGATTTCTTCTCTTCCACTTTCTTAGGTCAGGGATCACTCCCAAGGTAGGAAGGGATTGGGAACAGCAGGTGTTGGTCATTGTTAATGCTGGGCGATTTGGGTTTTTTAAACACTGTTTTGTTTACTTTGTATTTTAGAAGTAGTTTCATAACACATTTTCTAAAACGATTGAGGTTAGAAACCATGGTTGTTTTGTTTTGTTTGTTTGTTTGTTTTTAAAGAATTTATTTATTTATTTGATAAAGACAAAGCGAGAGAAGGAACACAAGCAGGGGGAGTGGGAGAGGGAGAAGCAGGCTTCCCGCTGAGCAGGGAGCCCGATGTGGGGCTCGATCCCAGGACCCTGGGATAATGCCTGGAGCCGAAGGCAGACAGACACTTAACGACTGAGCCACCCAGGTGCCCCTGTTTTGTTTGTTTTGAGAGAGAGAGAGAGCGAGAGAGCAAGAGCGTGTGGGGGGGCGGGCAGAAGGAGAGGGAGAATCTCAAGCAGGCTCGATCTCATGACCCTGAGATCATGACCTGAGCTGACCCCAAGAGTCAGATGCTCAAACGACTGAGCCACCCAGGTGCCTGCAAAGCCCTGGTTTTAATTGAGCTGTTCTCGACGGGGATCGTCCTTGTGAAGTGTAGCGGCACTGGGGGGGGGCATGAGATGCACACATGCAGACAAGGACATGGGCTTGTGGGCCCCAAGGATGCGCCCGTTGCAGCAGGAAGGGGCTGTGAGGGAGCCCTGCAATGGTGACGTGATGAGGGAAGGACTTGACCTCAAGGCACAGCAGCCCGGCCTTGCCTGAGGCTGGAGCCCCACCATCGCCCCCAGAGCTTCCCAAGGGGGTCTCAGTGTGAAGGCCACCCTTCGTTGGTCATTGGTTCTGGGGGGAAAGGGAGAAAGGAGCTAATTAAGACCCATCTTTGGTTAAGTGAATATGAACTAGAAATATTTTTAATTAAACCAGTTGTTGAAAATCTCTGGTAAGATTTCAGCTCGCAGACCTACCTTAAAATAAGACAGGAACAGCATTGTGATTTCAGGGCCCCCTCTTCTAATGCAGGTCAGAGTGAGGAGGACCCCAGTGCCTGGAGGCCTGCATCCCACAGAATGCATGGGTGGAGCTGCATCCTTAGTCTTAACCTTGCATTTTCCTAAAACCTTCCTAAGGGGAAAGTTCTAGTTAGATGCAAGGCAGTGGACACATTATTGGGGTGTGTTCCCCTGGGTATAGAATGCATCACAAAGCCGGGTCGAGGGACCAGGACAGTGGGAATGTAGGACTGGGGTCAGGAGTTGCACACCACTAGGAATGCCATGTGTGGGTCGGGAGTCTGTGAGCCCCTAGACAGGATATTCAGAGTTTGCGATGCAGGCACTTTTCTCCTGGAGAGGGGCTGTAAGCTGCCAAGGTCAAAGACTGTAGACAGCCCATAGCATGCACTCAGCTGCCTTTTGGTGGACTTGGAACATTATCTCCCTTCGGGTGGTAAGTCACCCCATCCTTGCTCTACCCACCTCCCTGCTTTCCACTCCTGGGTGGCATCTCCAGTCCTTAATCCAGCCTCCCTGCCTCCCCAGCCTCTCCATCCCCACTCCCCGGAGGCTGACAATTCTTGCTGGTTCTTGCTGTCTCAAGAGCGGAAGCTGAGCTCTCTTCTGCTGCCTGCCCTTCGTTGTCCTCTCTTTACCCTGCCCCAGGATTAGATCCATACAAGATGTTTCTCTAGGAATTAGGGTTTGTTTTTTCCACAGCTGACCCAGAGTCAGCGCCAGAGAGCTGCGGCGGTCTGAGGTTGGGGTCTCCCAGGTGGCCGAGGACCAGTCCGTGGAGCGCTTGGACAGCCAGGGGTGGGAGGCCACGCGGCGGCCGCCCCCGACTGACTCTCTGCCGGGGTTGTTTTCCTCTTTTGCAGATCAGCCAGTCACTCGATGGGGAGCAACGGCGGACCTCCTTTTTGTGTCACCTTCCCACCTCTCTGTAGCAAGAAAAATAACTTCAGCACCTCTTCAATAATAATGATGAAACTGGTATTAACTGAATGGCAATTATGGATTTTTAACTCTAATTCACAGTAAACCAGCAAGCCATATGTTTAAAATCCAACCAAAAATCATTTTGTTTTGCTGCGTGTCTCACCCGCTTGTGAGAAGTTGCGAGATCTCGATTTGTACAAAGAGGGATATAAGCATTACTTGCCGGAGGAACACAACTGAAGCAGAGAGAGAAGGCGTCCTAATTTATCCTTAAAGATACCTGATAGTATTATTTATATAGGTAGAGGAAATATATATACACACACACATATATACACGTATATGTTTTTGGTGGTAATGAGAATGGCCCCGCAGAACGCCGACTCGGAATCTCTGCAAGTTCAGGAGTTTCCTGTGCCCCTGCCGGATCTGCAGAAGCCGGGAAGCGCGGATACCCACGATGAGACCATCAGCGAGGGGTCCATAGACCGGATCCCCGTGCGCCTGTGGGTGATGCACGGGGCCGTGATGTTTGGCAGGGAGTTCTGTTACGCCATGGAGACGGCGTTGGTCACGCCGATCCTCTTGCAGATTGGTAAGTGCTGTCCGCGCTTCTGCCTGGTCCTTAGCACCGAGCGCGGCGTTCGCCGTTTGGACACACGAGCGGACGTCAGCACGCGGACCTCATCGCGTGCACTGGGAAGTGTTCAAGAGCCCTGGGGGCCAGCATCCTGTCTTTGCTGCCCTCCACCTCCTGGCCATTTTTTTCCTCCCGTTCTGGGCTGGGGCTAGGGTGGCAGGTGGGCCTTGCATGGCGACGAGGAGGTACCTGTTTCGGCAAGGTGGTAGTCGAGCACCTGAATGTGTGCAGTCAGCTTCGGTATGTTCTTCTCCCCGTGTGCCTGTCTCCCCTGCGGTACCTCCTGCCCTTCTCCTGCCTCCCGGACACGGTCACCAGCCGTGTCCTGCTGTGTGTGGCAGGCCAGGGAACCTCCCTGACTCTCCCTTAGCTTCCTTCCTGAGAAGGGGAGGGTGACTGCAGACCGTCCCCTGGTCGGGCACAAGGCGAGTGCTTGGAACAAAGCCTGGCCTAGAAAACCCTGAGTAACATGGTTTTTTATTACCAGCTTCTTGTTGTTGACGACTTAAATCTGAGTTTCGTGTGGACTAGAGGTGGCTGAATGACGGGCATTTCCAGAAATACTGGAGTTTACGGAGTTACTCAGTGAGCATTACGGAGCCCCGTATGGAAGAGCCTGCATCCCCTCCGGATTACATGTCGGTGTTTAGTTTTCCCTGTTGTCTAAGGAAGTTTGAAAATCTGCAAGTTCCCAGCCCCTAAGAGTTCTGGATAAGGGGCCGAGCTGTTTAAAATCTTCTGTTTCATTCCAGAATTCCACATGTGCGTAGTATCTGCTTATTTTGGTTATTTTAGGAATGTTTCTTTCTCCAAACATAATGCTTCCTGTTCGGTGAGCGCTCACCGCTCTGCGGATCCGTTAGTGAAGTGCAGGGGTCTGACACTCGCCACGTTTCCTTCGGTTATGAATGGCGCCATCATCAGAGAGCCGACCTCGGCCGTGGCAGGTGTGCTTGTGATTATTTCAGGTCGCCGTGGTCATGGGACGCACCCCTGCATCTTCTCAGCACATTCATTTCTTCTCTCCGTTCTGAGGTTACTGTCCTGCCACACGTTTTTCTCTTGGTAATCCTGTGCTTTGTTGTGCATCTTTAAAGATGCCCTGAGACGGTTTCACGAGACCTCGGGCTCGGCTGAGAGCTCTTCGGGAGAGTTGGGGATGGTGGAGCATGAGCGATGCGGGTCACTCCTGTTCTTTCATCTCTGTACTTGTCATCTCTGCATTTCTGCTCTCACGTTCCGTACCCAGGAAGGTATGCCAGCGGCCCGAGCGTGGACAGGATGCCACGTCTCTGCCCGTGCGGCCTCCCTCTGGCGGTGGAGGCAGGGGAGTGACCCGACCAGCTGGAGCCACTTCCTGTGAGCAGGGGGGAGCAGTGTGGCCGCAGACCCTCCGAGGGGGACACCCTCCTTGTGCGGGGGGCTCTGGGTGACAGTGTGGAGAGTGAGCAGAAGGCACTCGGGGAGACAGAGGCTTAGCAAGTTTAAGAAACGAAGACTGGCTTTGTGGCCAGACCTCAGGGAGTCCAGCAGCAATTCACTTTACCAGACATTTATTTATTTATTTTTGGTCCTTCGGCATGGAAGGACTTGGGTTTGGCACCACAGCTGAGGTCATTACAAGTGCAGTCATAACCGTAAGTGGGGTGGTTACGGTTAGAAATGGAATGCCGTTATCCAGTTTCTAGACCACCTCGTGGTTATGGTGACAAATACGGAATACAGAAGCTCTGGTGATCGAGAGATGGTTGTTCTAGAAGTGCAGGTCTGAGGGTGTGTCCCCCCAGATTTTCTTTGTGGTAGGTTATATGTATTAAGGCTTAAAACCCTGGCACTAACAACTCTTTGCAATGTTTTACTTATAGGTTAAGAGTCTCACCTTCTATACAACTTAGCACGTTTCCTGGTTGGGGTTTGAGTATTTAACATGCTACTGAGTCTAGTATCAGGTTTGGGTCATCTGGGATAATAAACACGAGTATTTTACTACAGAGCATAAATGCGTATGCTGCGTGGCGACGGAAGCTCTGGAAAGTCGCGGGTGTGTTGGCTGCGTGCACACCTCCGCGGGTACTGACTGTCGGGAGTGGGCAGGGTGCCTAGAGCCGGGATCCAAGGACATGCTCACCTTGTGTGTGTGGCACTGGGTGACCCCGCAGGGCTCCCCAGGGAAGAGGTCTTTAAGAGCTAGGTGTTACCGTCAGCACCTTCTTGACCCAAAATGGAGCTTCCCTGGGATGCCCTGGGTACACCTGCTTCAGTTGGGGCCCCCTGAAATCGAGTGGGGCCAAACGTCTCCAGTGGCCCAGTTGACCTGCCGGGGAGAGAGATGGGCATTGTGAAAACTTGGGACACGTCTGGCGACACTGCTTCAGCATTCTTGGCCGTGAGCTGTTTTGTTGTCCTGACAGGTGCAAGCGATGGGTTTTGCCACAGCCTTGCCCGGTCTGTGGTCCTAAAGCCACCCGTTAGCACAGGGGCCATTTGTCTTTCCTGTGGCTGCTGGGCTGTGTACCACGCAGAGCTGGTAGGTGTCGGGCGATTTCAGCTTCTGTCCCCTCAGCCCACTGCGCCGGTCTCTAAACTGAGCCCGGCCCTCCCTCCCTCTGGTCTTGCAGGTCAGTGGTGTTGGAGGACCCTAGTGAGTCACACAGCCTCTGGACACAGAAGGAAGACATGGCACCCTTTGTTCCACAGCCTCCTGGCCGGAGGACAGATCAGGCAGAGGTGGCTGGGCTCAGAGGATGGACTGTGTGCAGGGGCCTCCAGGGGAATACTGATCCCGATGCTTGTGGGAATCTTTGCTGGGGTCCCTAACACAGCATGGAGATGGGAGAGCTCATCCCTTCCCTGCTGGCTGGCCGCTGTGTGGAAGGCCCGGTTGGCAGATTAGGAGAGTTCTGGAGTCCTCTCTTAGGGAGATGAAGTATACACCGTGACGAGGAATGACCTGCCACGTGGTCTTGGCAGACATGAGAGGGGGTGTGCTGTTGAGCTCTTGCCATCTCTGGGGAGCCAGGCCCCATCAAGGGGACCCCAGAGCATGCCTCAGCACCCAGCAGCTGCCCCGATTTACCAAATCTCCCCATCTTGGGCACCCTGACCTTCCTAGGTCTTTTAGGATTGACATAATTTTGCGGCATACTGAAGAGTGGTGGCTTTTTTAAAAATGGACATTCTGTTTAGTTGGAACAGTTATTTTGTAATGCGTCAGTAGACTCTGCCCAGTTTCTGAAAGCTGGCCAGCCAGATGTGCTTGGCAGATGTTGGGTGCTTCAGGAGACAGTCCCACAAGGACTTGGATCCTCTCTTGGGAGAGGTTCCCACTGCCTGGTCTGGGACCCAGCAGCCTGCTGTATACGCTCCAACTCTTCGGCCACGTTTTAGAGTACATTAAGCAATGACAATGGGGACCCGTATTTCGGTTGAAAGTCCCCTTCCCAGGGTGTGTATGTGTGTCAACTCGGCATGGGGATGGTGGTGCCCGGGCCTCGCAGGTTCCAGCGGAAGGCAGTGTCACCAGTCTTCCTGGCCTACCTGTGAGCCGAGTGGGAGTGACTGCGTGAACCGGCAGGTGGGTGGCCCCAAACTGGGCCAGGTGCCCTGTCACCTGGGGCACCTGCCACACACCGTGGCTCTCCAGCAGGTGACAAATACTCCAGCAGGTAATTTTCATTCTTGCGCAAGTTTTCTTCCTGGCTCCTGGTATGGTGGAGTATGGTGGTCTGTTCTTGGTGCTGGATCCCACAACTATAGTTGCAGCTTTTTCTTTTTCTTTTTAAGATTTTTAATTTATTTATCGGAGAGAGGGAGTGAGCGAGCATGAGTGGAGAAGGGGCAGAGGGAGAGAGAATATCCAAGCAGACTCTGCACTGAGCAGAGAGCCCAACCTGGGGCTCAGTCTCATGACTCCAAGATCATGACCTGAGCTGAAACCAAGAGTCAGATGCTTCACTGATTGTGCGCCCAGGTGCCTTGTGCAGCTTTTTCTTCTTGTGCCGAACGTGCTTTGTAGGCACGAAGTGTCGAAATGCCCTGACCAGGACCCAGCCCACGCATGGTGCACTGTCGAAGTCAGCTGGGCTGGCCTGTTGCAGTCCTTGGTTGGAGAAATTCAAAAAACAATAATAATTCCATAATATAATTGTTTTGTTCTGTAAATTCTGTTCGTTGCACAAGTGGGATCGTAAGGAAGAACCCGGATCCTTCAGTTGTCCTCCCTACTTGTCATTCGTAGCCATGCAGGTTGGTTGTCCTTTCCCAGCAAACTCCGGTCTTGGGGGTTTATTTTTGGTTGTACACTGGTCTTCGTGATCCTCAGCTAAGTGTTGCGTGTGATGACGAGCAGACTTGGCAGGACTGGTCTGTTTCCGTGCTTTGGGGATGACGGAGCTCATCTGTCTTCGTGTCACTCTGGGAAGGACAGGGCCTCGCTGCCTCCTTTCTCCTCAGACCCTGGAGCTGACCTTTGCTGTCGGCTTGGGCCGTTGCTCTGCGGCATCTGTTAGGGTGTCCCATTGTCAAACTGGTTCCTCAAGAGGAAAAGTTTTGGTTAGTGCCAGTTTAAATCCAGACAGTCTAAAGTGTGCGTGTGTGTGTGTGTGTGTTGCATTCGAGTGAAGTGTGCACTCCCTGACGCCCAGGTAAGTGTAAAGTGCACCCCAGCACCCGTGGCCACCCTCCCCATTGGAAGCTCGGTCACAGGAAAGCTGTCGTCCCTGCTCTACCTGACCAGGTGGGGACCTGAAGTCAGGTGTCTCGATCCCAAGTGACCGCCTCTTTTTCTGAAAGGAGCCTGTAGACTAGAAGCGAGTGTCATTTCTTGGGGCTGGAAAGGATGCTGCCAAATTTGCTGGGCCCAGGAGGCGGCAGATGAGGTGGACGGGTGGTGGTGGGGCCGTGTCCTTTCTTCCTGGCTGTGGACCCCAGGCCTCTAGCTGGCTGTAGAGGCATGG